CAGCCTCSMCCCCCCCCCCCCCCCCCCCCCCCCCCCCCCCTCCAAATARAAARAAAWAAAAWAAGTTACATTACAGAATATTACTACTAATTACTACTATTAGATAAATGAAATCTAATTCTCTCGTTTGCAATTTGTGGAGAAATTCGGCGGACTGTGAGTTAGTGCAGCATTTGATGAGAGGCAGCAAATCGATCTTCGCATAGGTTGCACTCACACTACGACTTTCTGGGAGGTATACGGCCTCGATTTCTGCCAGATTCATGCCAGAAAGTTCTAGTGTGAGGATGGCCTTAGCGATGGTGCTGAGCTTCCTGACAACACATCTTGGCCATCCCCTTTTGCATGGATGCGTGCTGTGCCAGGGTCTCTGGAGACCAACCATTTCTGAACAGTCTTGGATTATGCACAACTGACACGCACGCGACTGATGCCATGCGCAGGGGAATTTTGAAAGGGGGGCAATATTGGAGAGGCTTTTGGAGGGAACACGTTTTTCGCTGGTGTGCCATTCCGAAGCCGGCGTACGTTTTGCGAAACGACACATTTCTTGCACGAGAGGAGGGTGGCTGCTTCTGTGTGTTTTTGTGGACGTCGATGCGAAGACAGCGGCAAAGGCTTTGCGATGCCGTGGCCATGAACCAGGAGAGGACGCAAAGGCTTTGGTGGATTGGGAAACGGAGATGCGGGATTTGGAGACGGAATCAGGACTCAGGAAGGAAGAACGCTTGTCCGTGACAGAGAGCGGGGTTCAGCTTCCAGTTCATGCCCAGACCTCTGCACCCAGTGAAGGGAATAAAAATGCGACAGACGAATGAAAACAAAAATTGAGTGGTGTTCTTGCCGAGGCGGCTGTGATCGTCCTTCGGGGCAGACGTTGAAATTGGAATGATACGGAGAAAAAGATATTCCCAGGATGGATGACACACATACATCTAGAAAAAAAGACGGAATCAGATAGACTTTCCGGGACCGTATGTGCTTGCTCTGGGCCTGACAAATGCATTTGAGACTGTTGAGGTTGGTAGCAGCATGATGGATTGATGTTAGTGGTTTTTTTGTTTTTTTTTTATCTTTGCTTTTCTCACGAGGTCGCAAGAGTGTGGCAGAGGGATTGGCAACTGTGAATGGGTGGGTGTAGAATCTTTGAATGAGTACTGGGTTATCTATTTTGGGAGATTCTGTACTTTTTCTTTTTCTTTTTTTCAGTATGCCTGGTTTTCACTGTGTCAGTCTGTAAGAAAAAAGAACATGTTGTCCGTTAGCCTGGTTCTTAAGTGCGGCAGACTGTAACGGATCAGTTTTTTGCCAGGATACGTAGGAGCAGTTTCTGATGACTTCACGTGACATAAGTTTTGACAAGCCTCTAGCGCTCGCTTTTGTCTCACCTGCTCTCTCTCGCTTTCTCTCTCTCTCCCTCTCATTCGTTCTCTCTTTCCCCTGAAGTGCTTGCGACTTTTGTAATTCTATGAAGAAAGTTTACGGATGTTAAGTTTTGGAAAATTTTCTGACTTGGGGTGTTGGTCTAGACATGGAGCACCACTGTTTTGAGGAGAGTGAAGATTTCACATTCCTTGTAGATGTAGGTTTGGTTGATCGATGGCAGAGGACGATTGTGCGGTGTCGGTTGAGGGGCATTGCGAAGGAGGAGGGTCGTTCATCCGTTCTTCAAGGAACTTTTACGTGTCGTGAATCGTGTCATACGCCTCCAAGTAAGTAAAATTTTCGGATTGATTGTAGATTGAGGTGGATCGATGGTGCTTGAGTAGAGCGTTGCAAACAAGGAGGTTCATTGATTCACTTGTTTGTGAAGGAACTTTCGCGTGTTGTGCGTCATTAACCGCAAGATACACCTCCAGCTTCTGACGTATGGTATCTCAGTTGATGAGATGTATAACAGATCGGCAGTCAGAAATTTATGTCGCTGCTTTGATGTCGTATTATTGTGAATAAGGAACGGCCTATCGAGCTGCAAAGCAAGGTCAGCTGTAGCCTCGATGCGGCAGCAGCCTGGCCAGATAATTACGCAATGTTGTGGCGGTCGCCGTCTGCATTTTTGGGCCAGAGTTGCTCTCCAAGGAGTTGTGCTTGCACTTGCATGATGTATGTATGTGTGTTACGCTGTTTGTGAATTGCGTTCGAGTAATTGAGGTGACGTTTCGCGAACTGCCCGTCGTGGTTTTATCTGTTTCATTGCATGCCATTCTCCTGTAGAGGCTGCTGCTTCACATGACTAGGTTAGATCTTTTTTGTTGATGTCAGTTGGCAACCTACAAGGTACTATAACGTACAGCGCCACGCGCAGCTCTTCTGCAGGCGGCTGTGCGCCAACTGTAGTACTAACATAGATAGGTCTTCTCCGTAGATGTCAGCCTCTGGGTCTTGGGACAATTCGAATGTCAGAGCGCTTAGTGGGATTTGAAGCTACGATGTCACGGTTGTGAGCGGTGTAGTCTGGTAAGAATAGCAATCGTGCGGATGGATGCCTTTTTTGCTTGTGCTGGCAAAGTCAGCCATGCTGCGGCAAAGTTTAGAAGTTTAAACTCTTGAGCGGCAGGCAAGCTGCGTCAGTGTAGAAAAAAACTGCATGATGTTTCACTTGTATACCTTGCTCCAAATCTGTTGGCCTGTTGGTCTGTTGGTTTGGGCCTCAGTTTGGGTAACTTGGGCTCTTTATTCATTGCCCTGTTAAGTTTTGAGCTGAAGTGAATGTAAGGAGGGCAGTGTTTTCTTGGAGGCCATGATGCTAGCTGCTGGCTTTTGAGGAAGTGCAGTTTTGATTTGTTCAGGGACAACCACCGCCTGGTGACGATTGTGCCTGTTCAAAGCTGCTAAGGGAAGTGCAGGTTCAGCTTGGGAGAGTTGTTCTGCCAAGACTCGAGCGAAGTTCTTCTTGCGAAGCAGCAGAAGACCCAGTTCTCTCACAATGACAATGGCTTTCATTGATGTCCTGGAGAACGACTTGCGGGCTCTATGTGCAGAAGCTCGCAAGTGGTACCCATCTGTCAAAGATTCTGCTGAGCGTGCTATACTTAGGTTACGTTCCGTCTCTGATCCTGGGTCAATTGCCAAAAGCGATGAGGTTCTGCAGACGTTTGTACTTGCCTGCGAGTCAAGGTGTGTAAAGCTTAGTGTGATTGCGCTAGTATGTCTCCAGAAGCTGATAGCGCACGATGCCGTTGCTCCAGGCGCTGTCTCGCAGATCCTGTTGCTGTTGAAAGACAGCTCTGAGAATGTCGACGAGAGTGTGCAGCTGAAGACGCTGCAGACGGTGCTAACCGTTCTACAGTCCCGACTGCAGCCCAAGGAAGAGACGAACATGTCGATTCTTCTGGAGATCTGCTTCAGGCTTCTGGGTAATGCCACTCGTAGCTCGGATAGTGTGTACAGCACGGCTGCCGCAACGCTTCGCCAGGCGGTTGCTTTGATCTTCGATCGTATTCTGCAAGTGGAGTCACTGCCACCCACTCCTCGCGGTCCTCGTACCTCGCGATCCAGCTCTCTTTCTGGTGATATCAGCAGGACCATAGCAGCACAGGCAACGTCCATCGACACTGTCATTGCTGATCAGAAGCGAGTGCTGCGGTACACCCTTACGACACAGGCACGGATGGGACTTAGACTACTGGAAGATTTGGTTGCCCTGGCCTCAGGGGGACAGCCCACCTGGCTTGCTGTCTCATCGATACCTCGGGCCTTTTCATTGGAGATAGTGGAGTATATCCTCTCACACTATGCCTCCCTCTTCATCAGCTTGAGCCCCTATCAGCAGATGCTTCGTCAAAGGGTGTGCAGTTTGTTGATCACATCGCTTCGTGCCACTGGCGAGATCGACGGGGAGGTTGGGGAGCCGGCGTTCCGCAGACAGCTTCTGTGGGCAGTTGGGACAGTGGTGAGGTTCTACAGCTCCATCATAACGACCGAAGTCGAGGTGTTTCTGACAATGTTGATCAAGACGGCAGACATGGACCTTTCGCTGTGGTACCGGATATATGTGCTGGAGCTATTGCGCTCATTCTGTGTAGAGGCGCGGACATTGAAAACGATCTTCAACACATTCGACATGCGACCAAAGAACTCCAATGTCGTGGCAGATATGGTGGCATGCCTGGCAAGGGTTGTCAGTCTCGTACAAGTTCCAGATGCAGGTGAGGAGAGCCTCCTCACAGTCGCCGGGATATTAGGCAGCAAGGACAAGCGGAGTGTTGAATGGCTCTTGGATTTTGATCCAACGGGGGGCAATTCGCAACTGCAGGCGAGCGAGGCTCATGCTATCACCTTGGCTTTGGAGGCGTTGCTCGGTGTGGTGTTTACAGTGGCCACTTTGACCGATGAAGCCGTTGACACAGGAGAGTTGGAGTCCCCGCGCACAGAGGAGGCAGACAATAAGCCGGAGCTGCGCCCTGGCGGGCTTGCCGACACCTGCTGCAAGATGGTAGAATCGGTGTGGGTGACCCTGCTCGACGCCCTGTCACTTATGCTGTCCAAGTCCACAGGCAAAACTGTTATCTCTGAGGTTCTTGACGGATACCAGGCCTTTGCACAGGCATGTGGAATGCTCGGCCTTGTGAAACCCCGTGATGCATTCTTGGGCTCTCTCTGCACCTTTGCGCTCACACATCCGCACGACTTTTCCAAGAAGATCGGGGATGGAGACTCGAAAGAGGGGGGGTTGCTGACTTCCAAAAGTGTGCAGGCATTGCAGACACTGTTCAAGATAGTCCATCGCTTGGACAGCTTGCTCGGTCCATCCTGGTCTCTGATTCTGGAGACACTCGCTGCTCTTGACAGAAACCTGCATGCTCCTCATGCTTCAGCATCACACGAGGCATCACTGTCAAGATCCAGCAGCAGCAGGGACCGTGATCTCGGAGGCATTTCCTCGCAGTCCATTGATTTCCAAGTTTTATCTGCACTGGATGCGCATTTGTTTGAGAGCTCTTCGTCGATGAGTGACTTCACAGTACGGTCGCTGCTTCGTGCCCTGTGGCAGGTCTGCAACAAAGCCCTCCTCGGCGTGACCAGCGGGCTAGGTCTCTCTGCATCAGGAAGCACAAGGCCTGGGTCCTCAGTTGGGGGCTCAACACAAGCGGTTCCCAAGATGTTCGCCGTGGAGCGCATGGTGGACATCATCGTGCATAACATGCACAGGGTAGATCGTCTATGGGGGGAGCTGGTGCCCCATTTGCTGGAGCTGGCATGTCATGAGAGTGCCGAGGTGCGCACGGTAGCAATTGATGCTCTAGAGCGGTGTGTAATGGCAGTGCTTGGGTGTCAGAGGATTCTGGACGACACACGGGAAGCCAGGGCTATAGAGGTGCTGCAAGAAGAGGCCATGGTGACAAGGACAGGAAGCAGCGGGAAGGCGAACTCGCTGGGTGAAACTCGTTCAACGGTTGACCGATCAAATGTTGGAGGCAGGAAAGTCGATAACAGTGATGTTGCGGTGGGGGAGTGCGCGGACGGTGCACTCAGCGGTTCTGGGGCAGGATTTGGCACGGACTTGTCGTTGCAGGTGCCTGACCTAGAAAGTGTCAAACGTGGGCAGGCTACGGGCAGTTTCGAGTGCATCGTCATCCTCCCGCTGTGCTTGCTCTACCACTCAGGTAGAGGGGTGGAGGAGCGGGCGGGTGCCTTGAGAATTGTCCTTCATGCGCTGAAGAGGCATGGCGAGAAACTGTATCACAGCTGGCCCGATATTCTGAAGCTTTACGGGGATGTCGCTAACAGCGGCGAGAAAGACCTCGTTCCATTGGGCTTTCGGGGGATGACCGTTATCATGAACGACTGCCTGTCTTATCTCCCTGAAAAACTTATCAATGCTTGTGTGCAAGTGACAGGGGCGTATGGCTTGCAGCACACAGATGTGAACATCAGCCTGACTGCCATTGGCCTGCTGTGGACAACTGTCGACTTCTTTGCAAAAGGAGAGGGAGCAGCCCGAAGTGGCCGTGTGTTTTCCTCGGTAGCTGCTCAAGCTGACGCGTCTGGTGGGAAGGGAGGAGCAAATGATGCCCGCCGCCCTGAGCAACACGTTGGAGAGGATTCAGCAGAAGGGGTGCGCGTGGTGGCGGCTGGTTATGAGTCGAACGGAGTGGTAAGGAAGCAACAGCCGCAGGATATGCAAACTGGCGACCAAAGTCCACATCGTTCGCAACCGAAGCAACTTGTAAGTCAGCTTGATGCTTACAGCGAGGATATGCTGTTTACAATGTTTTGCATGATCAAAGGTCTTGGCACGGATGACCGTCCGGAGGTTCGGAACTCAGCAATAAGGACCCTTTTTGCGTCCATCGTCAGCCACGGGCCCAAGCTATCGCAAGGTTTGTGGGGATCATGCCTGTGGCAGTTGCTGTTCCCTCTCCTGGAGACCGTGCGGCATCTTGCCGCGACATCTTCTCGGGATAAGTGGGTTGGTAAGGAGTTGGGTAAACAGGGGGGGAAACCTGTTCACATGTTGGTGCATCATAGCCGCAACACTGCACAGAAGCAGTGGGATGAAACCTTGGTGGTTGCGCTGAATGGGATGAGCAGGCTGCTCCGGTCGTTCTTCTCTATTGTTCACAAGATGGAGGGCTTCGAGTCCGTATGGGAATCTTTGCTGCAGTTTGTGGAGGAGAGCATGCTGGAAGGCAGCAAGGAAGTGGCCATGGCTGCGTTGAACTCGTTGTGCTCCATCCTGCAGACACATGGTGCGAAAAGAACTTTGCCGAGGTATCATTGGGAGAGTGCACTCGAAACTCTGGATATGATCACCAGGAACTCTGCGCATTCTGACAGCCGGGTGCCAATTGAGGCACGCACAGAACTTGTTGAGAATCTTGGCTCGTTGTTCAAATCTTGCTCTTCCATGTTCGAGCCAGAGGATTACTTGTTGCTTCTGGCAATGGTGGATGTTCTCGTACGATACCCGACCCTGCAGAGGGACGCCCCGGCACCTGTGCCGTCTATGATGGCAGGCATCTTGCCACAGGTGCAGAGAACAGCTCTTGAGGTCTTGCCGTTGATGTACCCAAGGGAAGAGCGTCTGGAGTACCTGTGGCCGCAGTTTCTCCGACAGCTGATTACCTATCTTCCTGGGGGAAACAGGGTGTTGTGCGAGCATTTGCGGATCCCTACCAAGTACATGCCTCAAACAGGGATTGGGGAAGTGAGTCCTGTCATTGTGGGGAGTGGTGCTGGGCAGGAGAGTCAGAATCAGCATGACGGTGGAGTTTGTCGTGGGAGCAGGCTTGCCCTTGGTGCTTCCCCAGAGAGAGAAGATAACGGAGTACGAGAGCCAAGCGAACTAGGGAGTCCAAGGCCGCCATCCTCATTGCCTGCTGACACACGGGGGTTTCCTGACACCTCCCCGGATGCGCTCTCCCATGGCTTCGCCGAGAGGATTGTGACTCTCCTTGTGGACCTGTACATTCATCATGCGGAGATGGCGGCAAAATCTCTTGTTTTGCCAGACGTAATTGGGGGTATAGGTCGGTGCATGGGTGTGAGACGCGATGCCCCTTCCCATCCCCTGTGGCGAACGGCAGTTGGGGTCTTTGACAAAGTCCTCCGAACAGCCCTGATTCCCGACGCAATCAACGCAGGCTCAAACCAGGGCGCCTGTGATGGAAGAGATGAGGGCAAGGTGTGGCAACCGCACAGCAACGATATCCGCGGTCTGGCAAGGCCACGATTATGGAAGGAACTCGTTCATTTGTTCGAGAGGTTCTTGGTCGGAACCTGTGGGCGGGCAATGGTCGGCCAGTCGACGGAACAGGCGAGTCCGAAAACACAGAAAGCAGACGAGGCACTCGAATTGTTTGTGTTGGATGCGCTGTGTGACAGAGTCCTGGTGTCTTGCCAAGATGCCCCCGATGATGTGAAAGCCAGACTTGTGTCCGTTGTGGACCGATGCGCGGGTCGAATCTCCAGTCTACCAATCGAGAGTGCAGCCTTGCTCCCTCTGCACTGTCAGCAGTTTTCCCTTAGATGCCTGCAGAAGCTTTTTGATCTTTGTCGCCGAGCCAATCCGGAGGTTAGCTTAGAGGAGGACTCGTCAGTCGTGCAGGTTGCGAGGACTGCATTGCCGGTTCTCATACTGAGAAGTGAAACGATCATCAAGCGCTTCTTGGAGGATGATCAACAGACGGGAGGAAAGGGAATGCCCCAAATGCGGGTCGAGGAGTTGGTCTGCTTGCTGCAAGAATTGGCACGGTTGCTTCTCCACCCTTTGGTCTCGGCATCTCTTGATATCCCCGTTCGCTTGAGGAAAGCCAAGACGAAACGGCTCGTGAGAGGTCTTACGCCAGCTCCTGTGTCATCATCATCTCCAGCTGGTTCTGATGCAGCAGATGGACTACCCCTACAGGTGGCAGATGCTGCTGCAGTCAGCGAACCAGACAGACAAGTGGCAGGCTCTGCTGCAGCTGATGGGCAACCCAAACTATCCTCTGTGGAACCTGCAGGATCCTGTGATAGGATCAAATTGCCGGATTCTTCTTCCTCATCACTGTCACTGCCAGCGAGTGGAAGTCAGCATGATGCCCTGGCCGAGGAGGTGCCCAAGAAAAGTGGGTGGGAGGGTGGCCATCTGCTTGTCCTATATGGCCCTCTATGTGACCTGATTGTTTGCCAATATAAGCAGGTACGTGAGTTGACACGTGTCCTTTTCAGATTGGCTGGTGCAGAGCTCAAACTTCTGCAAGGTTCTGCGTCGTGAGTGCAGGTTCTGTCTGAATGCCTTACCTTCTCAAGAAAGAAAGAGTCTCCGGTCCACCCGTCGCTCCTTTCTTCTCACTCCTCAAGGCTCGCAAGCTATTCCATCTTAAAAGCGGAAGAGAGCATAAAGGAGAATGTATGTTGGTGGTGAGATGGTCAAGCTAATGCATCTCCAGTCTTTAAGCAACAGATGGTTTCTGCTTCCATGAATGGACGGACGTTCTGAAGCTGGACGAGGAGATTTTAGCGGTGGGGGGACATCCATAGCCTGGACGCTTTCTAAATGGGCAAGATAGCGTAATCTGTCTTGCCGACGAGGCCCTGCAACGATCCCTGCTCAAGAGGTGAGGTAAGGCGTTTTCCCATCTGATCTTCAATTTTCCTGTCGAATAACTCTGCTGAATCGCATAAGTTTACTACTACAATTCCTTGCAAAAATTGGTGTCGCGGCCCATACCCACAAAGTTTCTTCTCATTGGAACGGAATTCAACGAATGTCGTGGAGTGGATTCAATCCAGTAAACGGAGAGAAGGGAGGGCGGGGGAGGGCGAGAGTAGTGCCCTGAACCCATGTTTCCCCCATTTTTCCCTCCCACAGAACCCGAGAGCTCCATCGAGGCTGCGGATATTCGCAGAGGTCTCGCTTCACGACGAGTTTGACTTTTCACAGTGAGTTCTCTAGGTAGGTTCCGAAAGGTACCGGGCAACTTTGTCCGCATCCCGGAGGCGGCCGAAGGGCGTAATATGATGTGTGGATGGCCGGGCGGCGGTTTTGCGGACCACATGGTTTCATCTAGGCTCGAGGTTGGGGACCTCATCGAGGCCCCACTCGGGCCCAGAGTGTATTTTGATATTTAATCTGAACTCCAGGCAGCCTAGGATGTCCGGCTTGGGCAGCACAGGAGTGCTGCTCAAAGGACATTTAAGTGCTACAGAGGAGCTCGAATCCGGGCCTGATCCCTCGAGAATTCAATCAGGTATCGGACGGCTCAGAATTCTAGTGCAGTCCTGGACGTCCAACTCCGAGGTGATATAGGACCTCCATCCTGCTTAGGGCGTACTCACACTAGCGGAATTTCAAATGTGTCCGGCTGCATTCACGGCCATACTCGCATTTACCTGTCCACAATTCCGTCCTCGAATACGTAAACGACCCATGGTGTGAGTATGCTGTTAGTCCATCGAGTTCCAGACAACCCATGAGCAACTCGGTGAAACCTTCCCAAGTATGCGTGGAAGTTTCACGGCAGTCACTGTGCTAAGGTTCCGAACGTTCCCCGAAATCTTTCGGCGAACACCCTGGGTCCCGCATTGACAGTGTTACTCTCTCGGCGTGCTACACGTCTAGGGACCTACTATGCTGGGGGATATTCCGGTCCCGCATTTAATCCCATTATTATCATGAATTAGTGTCCGAGAGTTACCACAAAGTATTTCGAGGGGCTTTTCTCACCTGTGCGACTGTTCTAGGCGATGTTCTCGGGCGGTTAATCACCGGGTTTACCAGCAAGTGTTTTTTGTTTCAGGGGTTACGCTCTCAGACAAAGTATTCAGGGGGAGAGATTCTGAGGCCCAGAATTGCAAGTATTTCCAGGCACTGGAACTCTGCAGATTGTTCCAGGGCCCAGACTCTCTGGGACCTCCATCCGATCCCCTGGAAATTGAAATGCAGCCAGCTTAGGGGGGGACAAAAAAAAGAAGAAGAAATGCAGCATCGAGAGGGTCTCTGCGCAAGCGAGGCCCCCATGTGATATATAAACTCTTTTCCAGTCCCTGTCAAGGATGGGGGTCCCAGCCATCCCAAGCACCGGTGGGGAGTGAACCTGGTCCATGCCATAGTCCAGGTGAGTAAAAGCATCCCTGCTTCCATTCCAGATATGACACACCCTCTGGTCCTGGAATCGCTGGTTGGCTGCAAACTCCGTCCAGATCCAGTCATGGCGAACCTGAACATGGATGGGCACGTGGGGCCCATGTCCATTGTACTGGACGACGTGGATAAGCTGGAACTGATTGTCTGGAACCAGGTCGTTCTGGTAGCTCCACACTGGTCAGTCCACAGGAGTCTCTCTCCCTTGGTTGTACCCATTCCTCTTCCTCCTCCTGCTCACGTCTTTGCGACTGTTTTGGGTGGGGTAGCGTTGAAAAACAAACCCCACCAGGGGAAATGTCGCCTCCAGTTACCTAGGGAGCTCATGTGTGCAAAAATTCACTGTCAGCCCTTGGCGGCGATCAGCCATCATGCTGCACAAAGTCTTCTTCGCCAGGTCTTCAGTTCTTTTGTCTGGCCAGTTGCCTTTGTCTCTGCTCTCTACCGATGTATCTGTGAAATCGATCAAAGAGGGGAGATCCAACTCCATGGGGCATGAACATTTGGGCATGCTATCTTTAGCGGCAGTCATGATGATACCTTATTCATCACCTTTAAGCTGCCTGTTTCCTTTGCACGGAGCAGCATTTCTTCCTGGCCTCAGTCTGATTAAGGAATAGTCTGTAAAACCTGGCCTCAATCTGGTTGCAGGAATAGTCTGGCGAACGAGGCCTTAGTCTGGTTCCAGGAATAGTCTGGTGGTGAACCTGGTCGTAGTATGGTTCCAGGAATAGTCTGGCGAACGAGGCCTTAGTCTGGTTCCAGGAATAGTCTGGTGAACCTCGTCCCAATCTGGTTGCGCAAGAATAGTCTGGCAAACGAGGCCTTAGTCTGGTTCCAGGAATAGTCTGGCGAACCCGGTCTTAGTACGGTTCCAGGAATAGTCTGGCGAATCAGGCCTCAGTCTGTTTCAAGGGATAGTCTGACGAACCTGGTCTTAGTCTGGTTCCAGGAACAGTCTGGAAAACCTGGTCTTAGTATGGTTCCAGGAATAGTCTGGCGAACCTGGTCTTAGTATGGGTCCAGGAACTGTCTGGAAGAGTCTGGGAAGGACTCGAAAGAGTGAGTGTTTGTATTTTCGGTCTATCTGTTTGTTATACACTGACCGTGACGAAATTGTGCCGAATGAAAAAGCCCGCCGACGGTCGTGGTCCATGCAGAGCCTTCCCCCTTAAACTCCTCTCCACCTCCGGACCAACTTTAGGGCCCAGACAAGCTGCTGCCTCGACCATCTCTGTCGTGGGCATAGTCTTTGCCTCTGAGACCTGGCGGCTATTGGAGCCGAGCACAGTGCCCCCCAATGTATATAGGCAGCCCCGGCGGAGATGGTGGTGTCGAGCCGAACCTAAAGTCGACCACGTACATGAATGGATTTCTCCTCCTTTTCCGCCGCCGTGAATCTGTAATTGTTTGTAAGGCAAGCAGTGAAATAGCAAATTCGGGTGTGTTGGGTGCGTGGCCTCGGCTCTCGCTTAGCCAGACCAGACAGCGTATATTTCCTCTGTCCCTCTTCTTGCATCGTGTGTGTGGTGTGGTTGAATGTGGTCGCCACCTTCTCATCTCAGGGAGTGTGTGCGTGCATAGCAGAACAACCTGCAGGTACCGTCTTCACCCGAATAGAACGCCCGGTTATTATGGCTGTATTTGGGCCAACTTTCAGGCCGGATGTGGCGACAATGACCGGGCGTTTTATTCGGGTGAAGACGGTAGTCCACATTCTCATGTTTCTCAGCAGCCAGCGACACTGCAGATTGACGTTTATAGGGCAAGGATGGGGTGGCGTGGTACGGCATGGCATGGCTGTAGCTGTGCGGCATGGTTGGGGCGCAGGTCGACAAGTCGAGGAGGAGGAGGGCGCATGGCATCAAGCAGCACGAATCAGGCAGCAGCACAGCATTTGGAAGGGGAGTAGCGGGTGTCGGGATCAGTGAGGCCAGGCTGGTCATGTTGGTAAGGTGCTTTTTTCGATACTGTAGTACGACCAATTACTACGGGTGTCGCGCCACTACTCTCCACATGCACAAAAGAGAAAAAAACATGGTGGTGTATTTTCTTCCCATGTTTTAGCGGAAGTCCCATTCTCATGTCGCACAATTCGTGAGTTGTGGAGCGAGGGGAATGGCCACCTTTCCCCCCTCAGGTGAAAGATTAAACTGTCCTGAACCCCAACAAAAAGTTGTTGCGGGAGATAATAACATCTGCTTTATCCGCGCAGCAAGTTCGCAGTGCTCTTCCCACGCTGATTGCAGTGCTTGTGAGCAGCTGGTTCAAAGCTGTTAGGAAGCTACCGTCTTCACCCGAATAGAATGCCCGGTCGTTATAGCTGTATGCGGTGCAACTTTCAGTCCAGATTCGGCAATAATTACCGGGCGTTCTATTTGGGTGATGACGGTACTTCCCTAGTTGCCCCAGAGCTAAGGTAGTGCTGCAAATCCAGTGATTTTCCTGCGGTGGTTCCAAAGTCTCTACCACAGCCGGTCCCAAAGCCATTTCGCAGCTATCTCCGAAGCAGTCCCGGAGCTATCCCGAGCCGCCCCAGAGCTAAGGCAGTGCTGCAAATTCCAGTGCTTTTCCCGCGGTGGTTCCGAAGTCTCTACCACAGCCAGTCCCAAAGCTGTTCCGCAGCTATATCTTCGAAGCAATCCCAGAGCTATGGCAGTGCTGCCCCGCTTCAGCTCAGTGCTTCTCATCATGTCCAGCCCGTGGCTAAAACAGTCTTTTCTTCGTAAGGCGGGACAACCTGCCTTTGCTGTCAAAAAGAGGGCTACAGGGTCAATCATGTCAGGGAAGCCCCGACAGTTTTTTTTTTTTTTTTTGTCTTTTTCTTCCTACAAATGTAGAAGCGTCTTCTTGTGTCATGCACGGACCGGCGAAGGTGTCAAAAGGGAGGGGTTTCCTTCTTCCATTCAAAAGCTCTACAAAATAGGAGAGTTCACAGAGAAGTTAAGAGAGAACAGTAGTAATAAAACGTCATTTGCGAGTTCCACTCGTGGAGTACGGCTGGAGTGGAACTCCCAGATCTCCTTGGAGTGGAACTCGCAGATGTCCCTGGAGTGGAACCCGCAGATGTCCTCGGAGTGTCCCTGGAGTGGAACTCGCAGATGTCCCCAGAGTGTCGCTGACATGGAACTCGCAGATGTCCCCGGAGTGTCCCTGAAGAGGAACTCGCAGATGTCCCCGGAGTGTCCCTGAAGTGGAACTCGCAGATGTCCCCGGAGTGTCCCTGGACTGGAACTCACAGATGTCCCTGGAGTGGCCGCAGATGTCCCTGGACTGGAACTAACTCGCAGATGTCCCTGGATTGGAACTCAAAGATGTCCCTGGCGTGGAACTTGCAGATGTCCCTGGAGTGGAACTCGCAGATGTCCCCGGAGTGTCCCTGGAGTGGAACTCACAGATGTCCCTGGAGTGGAACTAAATTGCAGATGTCCCTGGAGTGGAACTCTCTCGCAGATGTCCCTGGAGTGGAACTGAAC